CTCTCTCTCTCTCTCTCTCTCTCTCTCTCTCTCTCTCTCTTTGGTTTCTTCCCTGGTGGACCAAGCTGGACTGCCTTTAGTCACGCCCCATTCTCCCACCTTCAACTTCATGCTGGTTTTGTCTTCCCAAAGCTTAGCTTTTAGCACTCAAATCCTGGCTCAGTCACAGACTTGACTGTGTTGCCTTTGGCAAGTCACCTAGACCCTCAGAGCCTGGTCTTCTACCTGTGAAATAGGAATAATAATCTCACAGGGAAATTGTTAACAGATGCATATGAAATGCCTCCCTCCTGCCAGACGCACAGTAAGCTGTTCTCTGCCACCTACAGGAACGAAAGCAAACTCCTTGTCTTGACATTGGAGGTCCTCCACCGCATGGCCCCACCAATCTCCTAATCCTCATTCCTCGCCCACACTTTGACCACCCACTCACTGTTACCTGAAAAGGCCTGTGTGTAATTTTCAGACTCTATTTTACCTGTGCCTTCCTGCTCCCTGCCCCACCCCCAGAAAAGGTGCCCCCCAAATATCTCTGGTTTTCTCACTGTTGTTAGATGAGCTTAAAAGACCCATCCCTTACAAAGTGTGCCCTTGATCATGTCCTCTGAGATCCTTCATGTCATTACCTTTCTTCCTCACCAGGCCTCAAGGGTGACAATGGTCTGAATCATCTCTGTCCAGAGCATTGCACAGCATAGATGACCCTGAAATTTTGTTGATTTGAATGAATAGTTCTTTCCAAGCTAAATCTTAGGTATCTTTGCATTGGTTAGCTTATTGATTGGTGCAACCTGTATACCAAGCTTTTGGTCCCCCTGGGACCTCCTCATGCCTCCTCCAGATATTTCTGATGTTCCCCCCTCCACCCTTCACTGGACTGTCCCTGCCCTGCCCTCTCCCACTTCCCGGCACCTCACCATCCAGACTGTGGAGGGGTACTTTGGCTCCTTACCTCCCCATTTCTGTGAGGGCCTGAAGACAAGAAGCCTAGTGGCTATCCGGCTCTCAAAGGTCCTATTGCCAGTCTCTTTGGGGATGTAGATGGGGAGGGACAACACATAACAAAGGACAAAGGTCCTAGACTCTCACAGAGTCTTTGTCCTAGACCAGTGCTGTCCAATAAGTCTGTGATGATGGAAATGTCCTATATTTGTGCTGTCCAGTACAGTAACCCCTAGCACATGTGGCTACTGGGTACTTGGGATGTGGCTAGTGCCACTGAGGAACTGAATTTTTAAATTTAAATTTAAATAGCCACATGTAGGTAGTGGCTACCATATTAGTTCAGGACAAGACCCTCAGGAATGTACATTGGGATAATGTCCCTGGGGATAATGTCCATGCAATAGGTACAGTCCCTGAAGGGAGCACAGCACGTATGGGGGAAGCAAAGAAGGGAAAAATCCAACTTGGGGTCGGCGTGGGTGATTGGTGGGCAAGGAGGGAACTGCCCTATTAGCTGTGCCTTGAAAGGTGAGTGGCATGGGTGGGGACACCTGGCTGGCTCAGTTGGAAGAACATGGGACGCTTGATCTCAGGGTCGTGAGTTTGAACCCCATGTTGGGTGTAGAGATTACGTAAATAAAAACTTAAAAAGAAAGAAAGAAAAGAAAAGTGAGTAGGAGTTATCCTGGTAAAGAAGGGCATGTGTCAGAGGGAGCAGTGTGTACAAAGGCCTGTGAGTGTGTGATGTATGTGAGTGTGTGATGTGTTAATGACATACTGAGAACGGAATGGGAGAGGGAAGCCCAGGTGGTAGGCATAGCATATCCCAAAGCACAGAGGCTGGCAGTCAGTGTACCCTCACTCCTCTGTTGCCAACCGTTTTTTTTTCACCAGAGCCTCATGAGGACCTGAAGTAAGAGCCCAGGGATACATTAGCTTGTATAGTGTCCCCACTGTAAAGTTACTGTTTTTCCCTTTGTAATAAATGAGAAACTTGTGGAGAGCTACATTGAGATTATGCAAATATCCTGTTCTCCTCGAACTTTCACTCACAGGTTTTAGTATTCAATGACAATTCTCCAAGTTGCCAAATGGTGATTTTCAAACGCCACCATTCCTTTGACATGGATTAGTTGGCTCTCCACTATAAGGGAAAGCTTTCCCTTCTTCTACATGTATTTGTTTATCTCCTCATGGACTTTTGGTTGTCTATTGTATTCAGTGGGTTATAACACATTAATATTTGATGTTCAAAAATGCCCCAGATGTGGCCAGCAGGAGGCCCTCCAAGCTGGCTCCTATATCCTCTTGGCCAGTCTCCAACTTTCTTTGAGCATTTCCTAATCTTCTGGCACCACAAGATGCTCCAGGCCCATCATGTACTTTCCCTGCCCCAGTCTTGGAATAAGCCACTTTACCCAAGGAGCCCTGGTCCTTTTTAGTGGAGAATGGCATTTGGGAACCAAGATTTGGGCCAAGATTTTAGGGTTATAGGTGTGTTTTAAGAGTTTACTTTTTTACTTGGAAAAAGTCTGAGCATCTGTCGATGATTTTCTTACTCCATCCTTCCTTTAAGGAAAAGCTTTCCCTTTTCCCTCATTTTATTTATGTATATCAGTGTGGAGTCATGAATTTTTATTTCACTCTTCAATGAATTATAATCCACTATCATAATTCATTTGGAATTATCATTATTTTGAATATATATTATGTGTATGTATGTATCCATGAGTTCACACGGATACCTTGATGCCTTTAGGAGGCTCTTTTAATAATCCAGGCTAGAGATAATAAATGGCTCTCAGGGGGATAGAAGATTAGAAAATGGCATGAGAAGGGGATGGATGGATTACACAGCTATTTAGTTAGAACTCACAGTTCATACCTACATCACTAGAAGGGACCCTATTTTACAAATCAAAAAAGTGAGGTACAAAGTCACTCTCATCCTGTTCATCCAGAAAACCTGGATTGGATGAGTGTGGTCGAGAGCCCAGCCAAGGCTCCAATCACTGCCCTGCACCAGCTCCATGCCAGACTCTCTCTCCAGGTGGGTAGGTGAGGCCAACCTAGCCCCCATCCCAGGGTGGGCTCCCTGATGCTTCCCAATTCTTAACTCTGCAGTTCCCAGATGCAGATTTATCTCCAGCAAGACCCAAAGGTTGGGAAAGGAACCCGTTTCCTGAGCACTTTATTGGGCCTGGGGTTGGGTGGGTGTGGGGAGCACCATCTGAGACTTTTACAGCAGTCAGAGAGACCTGGGTTTGAATTCTGGGTCTTCCACTTACTAGCCATATGACTTGGTAAGCTTCCCTGAGCTTCAGTCCCCTTATCTGTAAAACAAGGATAACAATACCAATGTCAACAAGGATAACAATACCAATGTCCTAGCAGTCGGCCCTTGATGAACGGCAGTTATCATTATCTCTCATCTTCATAACTGCCCTGTGAGGAAAGGATTATAGAGCCTCATTGGATAAGTGAGAAAATAAAGGCTACAGGAAATGAGGTACTTTGCAGATCTCAGTTGGTAAATGTCAGCTTCAGGAAAGCAGGGACCATGTCTGTCTTGGTCACCATTATATTCTCAGGCCCAGAAAAGTGCCTGGTGCATAAGAGGAATTTAATAAATATTTGTGAATGAATGAATTAGATCTGACTGGCTTCAAAGACTCTATGCAATTTCCATTTGCCCTTCTGGGATGGTGGGGATGGTGTCTGGGCTAAGGACCTCAGAGAAGGCTGAGCTAGGACCCAAAACCTGGTCTCCTGACTCCTGATTCATGTTCTTTGCCCTTCAATGAGCTGCATCTAGATGGAAAAGCTGAACTTCCTTTAGCCTAGGATTTGGCATATCTCCCACCTTCTGCATTCTCCTTACCCTTCTCCTGCCCCATCCTATTCCTGGTGAGAAAAATAATAGGAAGAACATTTGACCAGGAGATAGCAACTTCCTGTGTAACAGTGGCCAAGTTGTTTAATCTTTCTAGAATTTAGTTCCTCATCTATAGAATGGGTAAATTGACCTACATCTTTCCCAGGACAAAGGTTAAGGGAAATTGCAAAGATTAATAATAATTGAAATAATTAGGCCTATCTGACCCTAGGGTGTGAGCGCCTACTGGTGTGCACCGCTCTACAGATAGGATGTCTTTAGCTCAGTCCTGAAGTAGGCAGAATAATGTACCTAACTGGGACACGGTATATGATTAGGAACGGTTAACTGTTCCCTGCTTCAAACATATTTAAGCTTATAACAGATGTTTAATATACACAGAAAGTGTTTGCAAAGAGTATGTATTATTTTAGTCAATATATACTAAGGATGCTCAAAAATATACATTCATTTTTCTTTTGTTTACTCAACATTTACTGCTTACCATGCCAAGTGCTAAGGATGTATAAAGCCACATGGTTCCTGCCCTTAAGGAATTCAATCTAATGGGGGAACACAAAATAAGCACTTACACAAGTACTCTAATGTGTGAATAGTAGGTGTCCAAACTGTATGCAATAGGCCCACAATCATGTATAGCATAATCCTCAAATGCAACAGATGCCTGATGTGTGGGCAAAGTACTGGTTTGATGCATGCAACTGGTTAGCTGCCATAAACCTATTCGTAAACTGCTCAATGAACATGCACACAATAGTAGATATACACATGGCAGGTACTCAAATGCATATGACAGGGCTATACACAATAAATACAACCCATGTACACAATGTTTGATAAGTACACTGTAGGCTTACAAATGGTAGGTGTTTCATACAGTAGGCATTAGTAGGCGATGAATATGCTGTTGCTAAACATCCAACAGTTAAAATATATATACACTTAGGCTTATTTTATAGGAGTACCTTCCACAAATGTGTACACAATAAAAGTGCATACAGAACATTTGAAAGTGTTCATTAAAATGCTGACGGACAATGACTCTTTGGGGGGTATGAATGGAAGCCCCATCTCTGAGAGGCCTCTACACATAACCTTGGATGAAATAAATATTTCCTTTCTCTCCTTGGGACCCAGGATTCCAAAAATCCGTAATTCCCAGGGGGTAAGCAACATCTTGTCTTCCTTCTTTCAAAGCCCCAGCGGTGTCAGCGCCTAAAGCTGGGAACTCCCACGTCTCCCTCAACCTGCATGCCAGCAGGCACCCAAAGCCGCCTTCTGAAGCCCACACCGGAAAGACCCTAGAGAAGAAAATGTTGGGGCGGGGCTCGCGCCAGGGCTGAGGTCATAAAGGGGAGAGCCAATTTGGACCCACCACCCACTAACGCCAGCTCCTCTTCCGGTCTCTCTTCATAACGCGCATGCGCATCACTGGCCTTTAAACGTGCGCCCCCGGTCCACCGGAAAAAGGTCCCGACAGTTGAATTGCTTTGCTCGTCCGCCACCGTGGTGGACTATTTGCTCTCAGTCTGGGAGGTACTTTTGCGTCCCTGCTTCCAAATAGGGAACCCATGCCTGCAGATTCAGCTAGGTCTCCGTGGGATGAAAGTTTCTTAGAGCTTGGCCTCATGCAAGGTATACGAGGCTCGGAGGGACACACCGCGGAGGGATCCGGTTTGTTGTGGTGAGAGGAGGGGGGAGGAGACGCTGACAAACCAAGATGGCGGCGGCGGCGCCGAAGGCCGCGGCGGCTGGGAGGTAACTGTAGTGGTGAAGGCTGCGGTAGCTGGGAGGCAGCGGCAGAGTTTGGAAGGAACGAGGCAGGACGAAGAGGCGGTAGCAGTAGCGCCAGCTTGAGCCTCTCAGAGCGTGGCAGCTACACGCCCCCCAAGGCCCTCGGCGGGCGGCGGCCGCCCCGCTTAGGGCCTAGTCCCCGAGCAGTGCCTCGGCTTCATACCGCGGTGTCCGCCATGAGTCCTTAAGGGCGGTCCGAGCCCTCCAAGTCCTAGGGCCCACCATGGAGCCGGGGTCCGACGACTTCCTACCGCCGCCGGAGTGCCCGGTGTTCGAGCCTAGCTGGGCCGAGTTCCGAGACCCTCTTGGCTACATCGCGAAAATCCGGCCCATCGCCGAGAAGTCGGGCATTTGCAAGATCCGCCCACCCGCGGTAAGTCCAGGGGTCCGTGGTCGCCGGCGGCGAGGCCAGGGATGAAGAACTAGCGTAGCTGGTGGAGAACTCTGGGGCGGAGGGCAGCTCGAGGTGTGGAGAAATGGGGGTGGCTGGGACCGTTGTGGATGTGGCGCGGGTCGGAGAAAGGATGATGTGGGGCCAGGGGTCCTCTAGCGGTGTGAGGCCCCCAAGGGACCTGGGTCTCTGACCCATCCCCACTTTCACTCCGCCTTTCAGGTTCATTCCTGGTGAGGTTCAAAACGGGGATGCCTAGTGGACCCGGGAGAGTTCAGAGAGGTATCTACACATCTCTCAGTTATCCCGGACCACCCAGGTCAAGGCTGTACCAAACAAGGCCTTTTTTCCGTTTATTGTCATCACTTCCCTCGAGGCAGGCAATGTGCTGTAGTGGAGAGATCACAGCTCTAAAGGGAGACAGACCTGAGTTCAAAATTCCACTGTGAAGCTTACTACCTGTGTGACCTTGGACAAGTAACTTAATCTCTCTGAGCCTGTGAATTGAGTCCCCTGAATGCTTATTTTGAGAATTGGATTAAGCTAGGTAGAGTCTCTGTGTAGTAGGCGCTAGATAAGTGGTAATTATTGTGACTGCGAAGGTGTTTGATGTGGTCATTGGTTTGCTCCTATGTGGGTTGACTCATATTTACTCACGCCCTGTCAGGCCAATCCATCTAAGATAATGTCCTGGCCTAGTAGATCAGGAAATTCTATTACAGGGAATGTTCTATCTGGCTCCCCTGAGATGGGATTAGGGAATTGTCCCCTTCTTTTCCTAGCTGAAGGCAATATCCTTCCCTGCACATCACCCCCCATCCCCCCAGACCTGGCTCCTATGGGTAGGCTTGGACCAGCCGACTTGACGGTGGGGTATGAGTCCTTCTCAGAAGATTTTGTACTGTGTTCTGTCCCAGGATGTAGCAGGTCCCAGAGGATAGGGTATTCTTGGACTCCCCAAAACAGAATGGAGCTATGGAAGTCTGTCTCCTTTAGAACACTTGATTTCCAGAGGTCAATGACAAAGGGCATATCTTTGTTCCTAGGCCTGGCTTCAGGGCCGCGAGAAGTCCCCCAAGGGCTAGGATAGGCTGCCACCTTGCTGGCATGGAGGAGAAATGATGGTATGTGTTGTTCAGTCACCACTTGGGATTCCAAGGACAGGAATTCAGTTTGGAACAGGGTGTTTTTGAGTAGGTGTCTCCTGGCTGAAACAGGATGGGAAGCCTCACTGCCACCTGAGGAGGGCACCACAGGCCTCCTTGTCCATCTTGGTGTTTTCTGGTGTTCAGCCACAGATCTAGGCTAGTTTCAAATGGATCTTTTGGGAGGTGTTGGGTATACTAATTTTTCCCTTGTTGGAGCCTGGCCATAGATCTTTGAGGTATCCTTGTTCATGGTGAAGGAGTGGCATTTGGTAGCGAGAAGTCAGAAAGGCTAGCAGAAAGGAGAGGCTGGAGTCCTGGGCAGCCTCAAGAAGGCACTCCCTGAAGTGGTCCAGCAGGCAAGGAATCGTATCTGACACAGAGGGTAGCTGAGGCCTGAATTTCTGTTTTTCTGCCTTAGACTTATTGGGCAGGCTGGCCTTGTGCAGGTGTTGATACCCTTCCTTGGGGGACCAGGAAGGGGAAAAGTGACACATCCCTAGTGTGTGTGTGACCTGCAGGAGGCCATCTTTTGTTATGCTTCTCTACCCCAACAGTGTACTTCCCTCAAATCCAGGAGACCTAGTCTCTCTGGTTTTGTTCAGTTTTTTCCTCTTGTAGAGCTGCTCATACGCCACCTTTAGGCAGCCAGGCCATCTAGCTGGAATTTGAAGCCCTTGCCCAAGTGGTGCTTCAGCCCAGGGTGGGAACCTGTGTATGGGTGGGTTCTTGGAAATTGGAGGTTTGCCTGAGGAAGGGCGATTTGGGCTTTGAATTGCTAGACAGTTGACTGCTGCTCTTGGGGAAGGTGGGTGAGAGGAGAGTGTTGGTACCCTGGAGTAGACCCAGGGGATCTTGGAAGGCTCTTGCTTCCTGCATCGGGTAGCCAACTTTTTTATCACCATCCTAATAATACGGGTGTGTTTGGCACACAGGAGTAGGAGACTGAAAGCAGAATGAGGGAGCTCGTAGGTTCCAGGGAGAGCTGGGTGGGGGTTTGCTGGACCTTCCCCAGCTATCTGTTGCACCCACAGCTCCTGCTCTAGGATTCGGTTCTGCCATTTCCTGTCTGGTTGCTTGATGCTGTGCTTATTCTTATCCAGAACTTGATTCAGCAGGAAAGAAGGGTTCCTGGAGTTTTGGGTTTGAGTACCTTTCTACCTGCGCTAAGGGGAGTGCCCTACTGGTGGGTGGCAAGAGGGCATGAGGAGCTTGTCTCGGCTTGAGCCATACCATTTTAGTCTCTTTTCTCTCTCTTATCTTTTTCTTTTTTTTTTTTTTTTTTTAAATTTGCCCCTGCTTCACTGAGCCGCAGGTGTTTGCTGCAAACCTGCTTCGGCTAGGGGGTTGGGGGATTGAGGGGAGTATGTGTGCCTGCAAGTAAGAGTCCTCTGGCCTCTTTTCTAAAAGTGTGTGTGCAGAAAAGGCCAACAGCTTTTTCTTCTCTTTTACTACCCCCCACTTCCATATGTATGCATGTGTGTATGAACACTGGTATCCTGGTGTTGTACAAAGCCTTGGACTGGAGGTCTGAAGACCTGGGTTCTAGTTTGACTCTACCACTAAATCAGCATGTGATTTTGGAGAAATCACAATTCATATCTGGGCCTCACTTTCCCCATTCATAAAATGAGAGCATTGGTCTAGGTTACTCTGGGTGGTTTTTGCCACCCCAGCAGGAGCTAGGGCTTTGGGGAGGAGAGGACTGCATGGGAGGTTTTGGAGAAAAGGCCATCAGGGAGGGGCTCCCCACAGTTACCCTTTGGTAGGACACAACAAGCCTCAACTTGGCATGGCAGTCACCCCCCACTTCCATTATCCTTCCGCAACTTCCTTCTCCTCAAATTCTCCTATTCTTTGCGACCATGGTTGGGTATCCCATCACTAACCCTTTCCCCCGCTTCCCCCCCCCCCCCTTTTCCTGTACCAGGCAGGTGTTTGAGAGAGGACCCACAGGAAGCCTTCCAGACTGGGTGAATGATGCAGATTCTTGCTCCCCATCCCTTGCTTTTCCCTACAGCACATGTCTCAGGCCCTTTCAACTGAGAGAAGACATTAAAGGCCTGAACCTTTAAATCCTGGCAGAATTGGAGCTGAGCTACCCTACGTGTATATTAGGTGGTGGAGTTAGCTTAAGATACCAGGTCTTAAGGATGACTCCTTTGAATAACATTTTTCATTTGAAAACCAATTTAATTTGCCGTTATCAGTATTATGAGGAAACCAGGGCAAGTGTTCATATTCCCACCTTACAGATGAGAAAACAGGTTCAGAAAAGTAAAATCCCACAGCTAGTAAGTAGTGGAGCTAGAACATGAACCCTGGTCTTCTGACTCCAGATCCCTGTGCTTACCAGTACTTCCAGACTGTGTCCTACAGTACATGCCTGGGGAACAAGGAGTTAATGTGGATGTAGGGAGAGTTTGAGGTCAGCTGTTTTGGGCGCCATCTCTCTCTTTCTTGAAATCCTGGTGCTGTACTGTTGGAGGGACTTGGGAGAAATTTCAATGCTTGGGGCATTGAGTATGGACTTGAGGGACTTCTAGGGCCCTGTGGTGAGTTCTGGGGGGCAGGTAGTGGGTTGGGTGTTTGCCAAGTTAAAGGGCCTGGGGTGGCTAGAGGTCTGGGAAGGAACAAATGGGGTGCTGAGCTGCTTGTGGTGCCCTCTGGCCTTGCACTATGCTGGAATAACTCAACTCCCTTTCCCCTCTGTGTAACCCCCCAGGACTGGCAGCCACCCTTTGCTGTAGAAGTGGACAACTTCAGGTTTACTCCCCGAATCCAGAGGCTGAATGAACTAGAGGTGAGAAGACTAGCAGCTGGTGGCGGGGTTGGATATGTGAACTCCGATTCCACTTCCCTCATACCTTCTTGAGCTAAGGTGCTTTACCTGACTATGCCTTTATTCTCTCTCCTGTGAAGTTGCATGGAGGTCATAGAGGAAGCTTTAGAGCTCTGTGTATAACCAAGAGCAGGAGCATTTAGGATCTCTAATATGATAGCTCAAAGACTAGGGATGTCCCTTTCCCTAAAGGTTTGCTACTTCTGAAAGTCCCCTGTCAGCCAGCCTACTGTAACTGAGTCAACAAAAGGGAAATAGGGGGTTGGCTGAGCCCTTTCATGCTTGGCCAGCTGAATGTGGTCTCATTATCCAATTCATCCACAATCCTGTGCTTCTGGCCTGCCTTCTATGGGGCTTGGTGAGGTGGGACATGAGGTAGAGGGGCAGGAACAACACAAGAAGTGGTCTTTATCAAGGCTAGAATGGTTATAAACTTGGACAGGAGTCAGGCAGGTAGGCTTTTCCCTCTCCCTTTTCTGTACAGGAAGTCCAGGCTCTGTGCATGGATAGGTGAGGTTCTCCACTAAGGGCTTGAGAATGCCCTGGGATAATGAGAGTGTGTGCTTTGAAACCAGTTCCTAGGAAGATCCTGGAGTTTCCCAGGGAAGATACAGTTGAGAACTATGTTACCACCTTTTTCTCTCATTATGTATCCATAAACCTTACTAGATGCCCTGGGGAGGGGGAGTGTATTGGGCCCTACTGGAAACTTATGACCTAAAAGCTTCCTTGTTTCTAGACTACAGTTCCTCAACCTTGATGCTATTGACATTTTGGCCCAGATAATTTTTTGTCATGGAGGGGCTATCCTATGCATTGTAGGATGTTTATCAGTACCCTTGGCTTCTACTTGTTAGATGCCAGTAATACCTTTTCCCAGTTATAACAATCAAAAATGTCTCCAGGCATTGCTAAATATCCCCCCCAGGGAGCAAATTGTTCCTCATTGAGAACCACTGTTGTAGGGTCAGTCTAGGAGCTGTCCTGGTCAGGGAAAAAAATCATCTCATGAATGGGGTATAAGTTCCTTAAAGAAATGGATCCTAAAGAAATGGATCTATGGAGGTACAGCTAGTGCAAGGTGTCACCTAGCATGGGACAAGGGCAGGTTTTCTAGAGATACTGTGCTGGCTGTTGATGGGGAGGAGCAACGAAGAGGCCAAGATTGGAAAGCTAAGATGGAGGGAGTAGAGTTGCTGGCCTCTTCCAGGTTTCCGCAGTTAAATAGCCATAGGTTGTTTCTTTCCACAAATAGACCTTAGTTTTCCCCATCTATGAAATAGAACTGTTTCTGTTCTTCTAATGGGATCTGAGCAAGGCGGTGAATGGTAGTGACTTATCTAGTTTTCCATAGAATTAGGCTATCTGACCAGGGCAAGGTGGTTCTAGACTTAGAGCTTTGGGGAGCCTTTCTTGGGTCACTGAGATTTCAGGGAAGCAAGCAAGGTACATGCCTTGTTCCTAGGATACTTGGCCCACATCGGGTCCTGGGTTGGTCAGGTGCCAGTGCTGCTTTGGTATACTGCCTCTTAGTTCTTTAGGCCATTCTGTCTCCAGCATGCACTCTCAGCCTTCAGCCACCATGGGACAAGTTCTGTGGTGCATAAGAAGAGGTAAATGTGCTCTTTTGGAGCCTTCAATCTGAAACGTGCCTAGAACTTAGATACAGTTCTGGAGTTTCCAGAGGGTCTTCACTGTTTCTCTCATAACTCCACCCTTCTGGAGTAAGTGGACTGGGCAGTTATGTTAGTTCCCCCTTATAATCAGAAAATGGAGTTTCAGAGAATAGAAGGCTGTACAAGCAAATCAATAGCAGGAAACAAGCTGAAACTTAAGTTATTTGACGTTCAGATCTCTTGATATCTGCTCTGTGACTTAAGGAAACAGAGGCTGTCTGTAACAGGAATGGTGATATTCACACAGCCCTGTCGAAGAGATTGAGAGAGCTGTTGTGACCTAACCCTCTCTGTTTTGGAACCTTGGGCTTATCCTATTGACTAGAAGGTGGCAGAAATGCGAGAGAGGTGGGCTAAGCACTGCCTAGAGTTTGGGATCCATTTCACGGGGAGAGGCCTTGGATGGTGGGCTGCTCTGTACACGTTCTTCTCTCCTAAGATTAGGCCAGAAGATGGGGCTCAGGTGGAGGGGGAGGCCATCCTCTTTGAGCAATTTCTTCTCCAGGCCCAGACAAGAGTGAAGCTGAACTATTTGGACCAGATTGCCAAATTCTGGGAAATCCAGGGCTCCTCCTTAAAAATTCCCAATGTAGAACGGCGGATCTTGGACCTCTACAGCCTCAGCAAAGTAAGAGAAGGTTTTTCTCAAACCCCTCCCCACCCCTTAATATCCTTGGTACTCTGGGGGCTCCCTTGGTTTGGATATTAGATCTCTAGGCTGCAGTGGAAGGGCACAGCCTGGTAGCACATGAGCTGTTGTCAGAACTTCTTGGTGTCTCCTACTGCAATTTGAATCTGAGTGGTGGTGGTAGAAGGAGGGAATAGTCCTCACTGAAGTGAGGGGCCGGACTTGTCCTCATTTCCCTTTCTGCAGGCCTATTCCCTCATGTACATACACACAGCACATCCACATCCCTTCCTGCTTGTCCCTGCAGATCGTGGTGGAGGAAGGTGGCTATGAAGCCATCTGCAAAGACCGTCGGTGGGCCCGGGTGGCCCAGCGCCTCAACTACCCACCAGGCAAAAACATTGGTTCCCTGCTACGCTCCCACTATGAACGCATCGTTTACCCCTATGAGATGTACCAGTCTGGAGCCAACCTGGTGGTAAGGATGCCAGGCTGGGGTGGAAAAAGGCTTTCCCCCCCACACTAGATGCAGATCTCCCACACTTGGCTCTTAATGGAACTGGTTCAGAGAACTGGACACCTGGGAGCTAGACTCTACCCTTTTTTAGTGGTGCTTATTCTCTTCCATGCTGCCCAGGATCAGAGGTCCTGGAGTTACCCACAGGGCCAGCCTACTATCCAATATATAACAAGGTTTTAACTGATAAAGGAATTCCAAGGAGGGAGAGACATTTTGGATTTGGAGAGGTCTGGGAAGAGATGGCATCTGATTTAGTTAGGGAGATGGTTGTGGGGAGGTGGTTTGAAGGAGGAATGACCTAAGCAAAGGCAAGAGAAGAATTCTCAAACTGTGTGCTGGTGTCATTGGTAACGACCAGTTGAGCATGGCCTTTTGGTGTGGGCCATGTGGGTGCAGCCACAGCTTGGTTTGCCATTGGGTAAGGGTAGAGGGAAGTCATTGTTGGGGTTTAGGGCCCCATACCCTCACCCTTACTCCTCACTTGTCCCCAGCAGTGCAACACACGTCCATTTGATAATGAGGAAAAGGACAAGGAATACAAACCCCACAGTATCCCCCTTCGACAGTCCGTGCAACCTTCCAAGTTCAATAGCTATGGCCGGCGGGCCAAGAGACTGCAGCCTGATGTGAGTACTTCACTTCTAACTCAGAGCTTTGGAAGTGGGAGTCCTCTCCCTTCCTCTGACCAGAGTTCTGTTCCCTGTTCCACTTTTCTTCACTCCACTCGCTGAGTTCTGAGCAGAAGTGTGCCCCCCTCCAGCTTCTGAGCTGGGTCTTGATCTCCTCGTACAGTATCTTTTCTATGTCGACCCTTCTTGCCTATCTTGTTCTTTCCTGACTCACTCTGCTCGTAGGGGTAGAACTCTTCTTTTCCCTTATACCTGTATCCTAGCTTTAGGCAGAAGCTTGTGTGCTAGACATTCTTCTAGGCACTGGGGATACAGTAGAATAAGATAGACATTGTCCCTGGGCTCACCGAAGCATGTCATTTAGTAGATCGTATTAGTCACTGTCATTTATTGGTAGTGTCAAACACTATTAGATTTCTTTATATATGTTATCCCCAAAACTCTTTGTAAGCCTCTCTGTAAGGTAGGAGTTAATATTCTTGTTTTACAGTTGGGAAAACAAATTGCATCTTAATTTTTTTCCAAGAGAGGGCTGAGGGGGGAGCTCACTTAACCCTAGTCTCCAAAAAGCAGCTCTGCCCAGGCCTGCCCTTGCCTTAGTCCCTGGCATGAGCTCAAGTGATATATAGTCCAAGCTATTGTTCTTTTAGGATGGGCAGTCTGCCTCAGATAGCAGGCTTGATTCATTTCCTTTTTTTCTCCCAGCCGGAACCCACGGAAGAAGACATTGAAAAGAATCCGGAACTGAAGAAGCTACAGATCTATGGGGCAGGCCCCAAGATGATGGGCCTGGGCCTCATGGCCAAGGATAAGACTCTGCGGAAGAAAGGTGAGGCCTGACAGGCTGGGGCAGTGTGAAGGATGGTGGCTTCGCCTGGGGAGAGGAGGCGGGGCCCTGACTGTTCTAGACCTGTACTTTAGAGCCACTCTTCCCTCTCCCAGATAAGGAAGGGCCTGAGTGTCCCCCCACCGTAGTGGTGAAGGAGGAGTCAGGCGGGGATGTGAAGGTGGAGTCAACCTCACCTAAGACCTTCCTGGAGAGCAAGGAGGAGCTGAGTCACAGCCCAGAGCCCTGCACCAAGATGACCATGAGACTGCGGAGGAACCACAGCAATGCCCAGTTTGTAAGGACCCAGCCCTGACTTCTTAATGCTCTGCTTCTCATCCCTTCAACGAGCATTTCCCCAGCATGGCTCTGGACCAGGTTGCGTTAAGCAGAAAAGTGGGCCTGGTGGGCCCTGCCTTCAGGTAGCTCACTTAATTGGGGAAACAAGGCCAACTCACATGGAACAGAGGACAAGAAAGGGTGATCAAGTGCTGTCAACATGAAGTGCTGGAAGGGTCCAAAGAAGGAGACTCCCTCTCCATTGCTTCAGGATAAAGGCTAAGCTCCTCATTATCATGCATGATCCAGTCCCTGCTGACCTCTAGCCTCATTCCCCAGCACTGCCCACCTCACTCCTCTGCTATAGCCACACTGAACTACTTGTAGGTATGTTCGTTTTTTTCCCCTGAGATGCGCCATGCTCTTTCTTGCCCCCATCCCTTTGCACATGCTGTTTCTTCCGCCTGGAAGTTTTCCCCTGTGCTCTGCCCCATTGCCAGACTTCAGTTTGCATTCAGGTTTTGGTCAGTTTCAAATGTCATTGTCAAGTGTCCCCTTTTCGGTGAAGTCTTTTCTCAAGGCTATCCCTCCTTATCTCTGGCTGATTTGAGGGCTCCCTTCTCTAGGCTCCCATAGTACCCTTCATGGGCCAATATTGGCAATTGCCACATTGCCCTTTAATTTTTATGAATATGTGTCTCTGGAGTACTGTATGCCTTTAGGAGGCAGGTACCATATTTATTCATTGCTGTACTTCAGAGTCCAGCACAGTGTTGAACACATAAGTGCTCAGTGTTTGTTGAATGAAAAAAAATGGGAGATTCACGACTGAATGATAAAGACTCCGCTCTCACAGCTCTACCAGTTTATTTGGGGAGATGGTATGTGCACACAGTTAAACTCCAGAACTAGCATGACTAGCCTGTCACAGGGCTATGACTAATCTAGCCAGCAAGCACGGTGGGTTTCTATTGGAGAGTTATGTGGACTAGAGTACTGTCTGGAGGACAGTTTGAAGGCTGGACAGGGCTTAGATTGATGAACTGTTGCCTCCTTTCCCTGGCAGATCGAGTCCTATGTTTGCCGGATGTGTTCCCGAGGGGATGAGGATGACAAGCTTCTGCTGTGTGATGGCTGTGATGACAACTACCACATCTTCTGCCTGCTGCCTCCTCTGCCTGAGATTCCCAAGGGTGTCTGGAGGTGCCCAAAGTGTGTCATGGCGGTAAGGCCTTCCCAGCCCCAGCTCATGTCTGCCCCATAGGGTATTTTTGCCTTCCTTCATCTGGCCTTATTGAGAACAGCTTCCTAGTTCAGCCACAGTTTAATATTTTGGGTTCCAGCGTGGGGCTAGGCTGGGCAGAGTGTTAGGAGAAAGAAGAGGAGGAGACTTAGCCTTTGCTTATGTCCTCTGGGAGCTCCCAGACCACCTGGGGCAGTGAGAGTCATGATTGGACACATGGTATGCTGATGTATAGTCAAATGCTAAATTACATGTTAGAAACTCTGAGGTGTAGAAGTTCAGAGGAGAGGAAAATGACTAAGGGTAGTAATCAGGGAATGTGTCAGGAATGAGATTTGGAGAACAGGAATATGAAGAAAAAGTTGTTCTTTTGATTTCCAAGTTTTTTATTCTTTGTTTTTTTTAGAAAGCTTGGAAAATAGACAAATTACCTATCATCTCACCATCTAGAGACAACCATTGTTAATAGTCTGGTATATTTTCTTCTCATCTTTTTGTTGTTGCATATATATAACTACTTTTAACGAGTTTGGGCTCTTACTGTGTATTTTCATTTGCTACTTTATGATCATTTTCTATATTAAATTTATTCATGGGTATGATTTAATTTTTCCTTTGGGGGGTCCATCATATGGTTATAATACTTAGTTTTCCTTTTGTTTTGGTAATTTGATTGGTTTGCAGTGATATAGGCTTTAACTAGAAGAGATGGGCAGGCTTTCTAAACCTGGGAATGGAGGCATGCTGGAGCAAGAGTATTTGGGGCAAATGTACCTAGTGCAAGAGGGACAAGTAAGGAGAGCATCTGAAGCAGCAGTGAGGGCTGAGAGGCCTGGTCTGTCTGTCAGGTCTGTTTCATGAGCTTTCTACCTTCATCCAAATTCTGGTCACTCATCTACATTTCTCTGTGGGTTTCTGGAGAGCAAATGTGGATGGTCTCTTGTCTTAGGGACTCAGCTGTGGTCATAGAGACTAGGTGTGCATGTGCACACACACAGCTGAGGAAAGAGACCGGGGCAGTGCATAATGGCCTTGGTGTAGTGGTGGAGATTCCTTCAGGGAGGAGTTTGGACGCCAGTAGTATCATAGACAATGAAGGCTGTCAGCTCTGCTTGGCTCTCTTTAAGTGGTTGTGGGCCAGTGGACCAGATTGACATTGATTTTTCAGACATGAGTCTAACTCTGGGGTACATACAGCTCTCATCTAAAACCATGGACATAGGTACAAAGTGAGGTAGACTCAACATCCTGTCTTCTGAGACCGTCTAAAGAACAGGAATAGTGTAGGATTTGACAGCGTAGGAGCTAGTGCCTTCGTTTTCCATCCTCTGAGCTACTAGAACATTCAGTGCCATTTTCTCAGGCTTGTAGTTCCAGGCTGGGCATTAAGAAAGCTTCCTTACACACCCTGCTTAAACTCCTATTTTAGCCTGAGAGAAAAAAATGGCAGAAGAATATAGGATAGCATATTTAAGTCTGAGTTCATGGTTTAGGTAGGAAAGTCCTAAAGGAAGAAAAGAGCAAAAGCATGGCAGGGCAGTGCATGTGGGGAATGAAAAGACTAAGCTGAGGTGCTAGGAGAAAAAGGTGGAGCTATAAAGTGAGGTCTGCCTCAGGGGCCTTGAGTACAGACCTAGGGCTGTTCTTGTTCCCTGCTCCTACCCCATATTCCAGCTCCGCTTTTGAGGAATCTCCACCCCTGTGCCCTCTACCTTGGTGACATGTTCTCCTTTGGGTTTCAGGAGTGTAAGCGCCCCCCTGAAGCCTTTGGCTTTGAGCAGGCTACCCGGGAATACACTCTGCAGAGCTTTGGCGAGATGGCTGACTCCTTTAAAGCCGATTACTTCAACATGCCTGTGCACGTAGGTGATGGAGGGCTGGGGTAGTGTCAGGGCTAGGGTCGTAGGTGTTGGTGCCTGGTGGTCTTAGCTCTCCTGAGTCACTGGGGCCATGGTCATCTGCTACCCCTGTTCTCCAGATGGTGCCCACAGAACTCGTGGAGAAGGAGTTCTGGCGGTTGGTAAACAGCATTGAGGAAGATGTGACTGTTGAGTATGGGGCTGACATCCATTCCAAAGAATTTGGTAGCGGTTTCCCCGTCAGTGACAGTAAGCGGCACCTAACCCCTGAGGAGGAGGTGAGTGGATGATTCATGATTATATGTCAGTGGTGTGAGCTTTGGCAGGTCATTCAATATCTCTTTTGGGTGGGGATCATTATGCCTGCCTCATAGAGTTGCTGTGAGATTTAGATGAAGGTGGTACATGTAAAGAACACAGCCTAGTATCTGGAATGGCATCTCTAGCCACGAGATTGGCTACTTCTTTGTAGGATGGGGATAGTACCTACCTTACAAATTTGTAATAATTAAATGAGAAGGTATATGAAATACTTGGCAGGGTGCCTGGCTCATTCATAACAAGTGTTCAGGGACTGAGACTGTATGTGCAGGAAAAAAAATGAGGGCCCAAGCCTACCTCAAGAGAAGGGTGCATTTTGGTCCAATGCGGGGGCCTTTAACTTGCAGGTATTTTGGTGGGTGAGTATATCTGTAAAACTTGCTAAAATCGAAGCGAATTGAAATTTTGTGTGCATGCATTTGGTGGAGGGTGGGTGGGAGGTGGAGAATGTCTATAATATTTCTTAGATGTGTCAAAAAGGTCTATGACCTCGGGGTGCCTGGGTGGCTTGGTCGGTTGGGCGGCCAACTTCGGCTCAGGTCATGATCTCGCGGTCCGTGAGTTCGAGCCCTGCGTCAGGCTCTGGGCTGACAGCTCATAGCCTGGAGCCTGTTTCAGATTCTGTGTCTCCCTCTCCCTCTGCCCCTCCCCTGTTCATGCTCTGTCTCTCTCTGTCTCAAAGATAAATAAACGTTAAAAATTAAAAAAAAAAAAAAAGTCTATGACCTCAAAATTAAGGTTCCCTGGGCTAAAGCTCTCGGTTCCTTAGTATAACCCTCTTCCCCTATCCACAAATACCCAACCTGACAGGAGTATGCTACCAGTGGTTGGAACCTGAATGTGATGCCAGTGTTGGAGCAGTCTGTACTATGCCACATCAATGCAGATATTTCTGGCATGAAGGTGCCCTGGCTCTATGTGGGCATGGTCTTTTCAGCCTTTTGCTGGCATATTGAGGATCACTGGAGTTACTCCATTAACTACCTCCATTGGTGAGCGGGGGCCCTGGGAAGCTGGGGAGGCAGGGTAGGCCCCCTGAGGACCATGTGTGTGACCACTCCATATGTCCCCTTTCCACATGGCCAGGGGTGAGCCGAAGACCTGGTATGGGGTACCCTCACTTGCAGCAGAACATTTGGAAGAGGTGATGAAGAAGCTGACACCTGAGCTCTTTGATAGCCAGCCTGACCTCCTGCACCAACTTGTCACCCTCATGAATCCCAATACCCTCATGTCCCATGGTGTGCCGGTGAGTGCTCAGGAAACAAGGACAAGGGGTAGGAATGGTGTAGCGATGTCCTTTGTGGTGGTGGTGTTCATCTGGAATCTACCCGTGCTTCTTTCTTTTTCCTCTTTTATCTTTATTCGACAACTCTAATAGAGACTTCACATAGCAATAGTTAGATACATGATGTGATGGTGAGCGCTCTGGGCCATGTGTTTGAGGGCAACACCTCAGGATGGTTCTTTTCACGTCTGTATGACAGCCAGTAGGAGAGGGAAGTGGCAGAAGGACAGAGCAAGACGCGCGTCATTTCCATTCATCTCCTGTTAGTCACAGCTTAGTCACGTGGCCATGTCTAGTTACAAGGAAGACTGGAAAATGTGGTTCTTACTCCAGATGGTCATGTACCAGTTAGAAATTCATATTGTTGTGAGAGAGGGTGAGAATGAATATTGGGGGGCAACTAGCAGTCTCTGACATGTTCCATATAGTAGCCCTTTTGGGAGCAATGGGTAGGTCTTTTTACTTATTTAACAGGTCAAAAGTTCTGTGGTAGTAATTATTTTGCAATATATAAGTGTATCAGGTCAAAGTGTTGTACACCTTAAACTTGTAGGGTATTATACATCAGCTATATCACAGTAAAGCTGGAGGGGAAGTAACCTCTAAAAAAAAGTGCCAATGTCAACATTTAAAATAAAGTTGAACCCAGAGTCCTAGACTGAACCTATCCGCCTCCTCTGTGGACTTCTCTCCCACACTATAAAATGTTTTGCTGGGTATACAATCTGGCTTGCCTATAAGAAACTTTCAAGCATTAGCATCAGCCAGTTTTCTGGTGTAGATCTTAAAACAGCCTGATCAACAGTCCTGTAGGGTCAGTAATTGGTACATCGTCCACCTGTACTTTGAGTCTTATTCTGTGCTACTCCT